GTTGGCCTTGGTGCGCCCATGGGCCTGGCTTCCCTCTGGGGTGTGCGCCCTCGCGTTGCTCTGCGTCCTCCACGGTGCTGCGGGAGCGCTCCAGGGCAGGAGGGCAGCGTGGCGAGGAGCGAAAAGTTGGGTTAAGTGAGCGAGGGCCCGTGGGAGTCCGTAACAGGACAGGTCGTTGAGTTTGACTCAGGGGTCTCAGGCAGCCACGGCAGGTCCTTGCACAGGGAGGTGATGGGACGGAGAGTTCTGGGAGGGCTCATCAGGCAGCCGTCACAGCGTGGACAAGATGGGGAGGGTGGTTTCCAGGGCCCCCCAGAAGCCGGTGCTGTAGTGGGGACGTGAAAGGGACGAGGCTGCAGTCCAGGGCCATACAGGCAGGCAGGGCTAGATGAGACATTGCAAAGGAAACAATGACAGCACGTGGGGACAGATTGGGGACAGGATGGAGAGGAGGAGTCAGCGAGGGGGGTGGGGCAGGGAGGTCGGCAGCCATCCTCGTCCCCTGTCCCCCCACCCTGTAGCCATGGACAAACTCCTGGGCTTTTCACTTTTCATGGGCTTTTTTGGTGGGATTTGAGCGGCTTAGACTCTCCTCCCAACATGCTTCTCCTGCTTGGAAGCCTCTTGCAAAGAGGGACAGGTGGGTAGGGCAGAGATGCTCCCCCCAGCACCATCTCAGGACCAGGCCTGGGCCCTTGGCCACTGGAGCTCATGCCAAGTGGGCCAGGTAGGTGAGCTCATGGCGATGTAGCACTCCAACCTGGCGCCCCTTCCTCCCTCTCTGCACTGTTTGGAGCTGTGCAGAGCCTGGAGAGTAGGATAGGTGCCTCCCTGGCTATCTTGAGCCGCTCCTTCCGGCCCCTCCCTGCCACCTCCTCCTGCCCAGCAGATCCTGGCCCCTCCATCCGAGCCGACTTCACCTGGGAGCAGCCAGGTCCCAAAATACCTGCCCAGAGATGTCACCTGTTCCTCGTGATGCTGATGACAGGGCGGGAGGGGTTGGGGTGGCCTAGGGAAGAGGAGCTGGACAGCTCCTGCATGTGGGAGTTTGGATGCTGTCATCTGCCATCCCTGGCAGCCCCAGCCCAGACACTTTCCAGCTCCCTCCTCCTAAGAAAGGGGAAATGTCTGCAAGGCTGTCTGTCCTTTCCTTCCTCTCTTCTTCCTTCTCCCCACCTCTTCCTTCCTCTTTCTTCCTCCATTCCCTCCCTCCTTTTCGCCTTCCCTGTCCATTCCCCTCATCCTCCTTCCTTCCTTCTTCCCTGTGCGCCCTTTGTCACCCCCTCCCTGCCCTCTTCCCGCTACTGCCTGGCACCTGGTGGCCCCCAGGGCACCCAGCACTCAGTCAGCCGCTGCGTCACCAGCTGATCATTCTTAATTGTCCCAGAGGCTGCAGAAGACAAGGCAAAGGCCAGAGCCCAGGATCAGGGTCTGTGTCCTTGGGGTTATGACAGGGGAGAGGGGAGGAGACGCAGCGAACCTAGGTCAGGGGTGGGTGCTCCTCCTCCCCAGCAGCCTCTGGGGACTGGCGCGCTGATTGTGACGGGCCAGTGGCAGCCCTGCAGGGGCCGGGGCCACTTGGCTTCATAGCAAATATTCCCATAGTGAATGGGAGGTCATCTGTGCAGATGCTGGGACAGGGAGCCCAACCCTGTCCTGGCCACTCTGCCTTGCCGGGAGGACAGTGGCCCCCACGGAGCTTCCTCGAAAGCCTCACGCTGCAGCCAGAGGAGCTGCCCGCCATTGCTCTGACACCCCGTCCTCTGTGGCGATCTCTCTGGAAATGCCTGTTTCCTCTACCTGGAACTAGCTTCTGCGCGATTCTTCAACATGCCTCTTCCGTGAACCTTCCCCAGCCGGCCTCGTCCTGCTGTGCAGAAGTTCTAGATTTCCTCTAGTGCGTGTAGCCCGCATCCCTCCCGGTCTCACGGGCAATCACAGCAAGCGTTAACTGAGTCCTGGGCCGTCAGCTGAGACAGGAGCTCTGCACAGGATGCGCACATTGGATCCTTCACGGTAATTCCACGAAACAGAAGTTACCAGACTGTTTTTCAGCTGAAGAAGCTGAGGCATAGACCAATTAGCGACTTGCCCAAGGTCACCCCACTGCGAATGAGACGTGGCACCCAGGTCCGTGGGACACCGTGGTCATGGATGTTTGGTTCGTACCTCCCTGCTCGACCTGAATGGCTCTGAGGGCAGCTGTGCGCTGATGCACCTCTGGCCGCCCGGCCCAGCCCTGTGCTTCTGGAACTGAACACACTCAAGTTCTTTGAACGCTGAGGGCTGGGGAGGAAAAGAAGCAAGAGAAGGAAGCTTGGAAACATCCCATCCAGGGCAGGTGCAGGGAGAGGGACTAAGGCCAAGCTCGGAGCAGACCGAGTGACCCTGGCAGAGGCAGCTTCCTCCCTCAGGTTGGGCAGATGTGCCATAGGGAGTGGCTTTGGCAACGAGCTTGGAAACTGACCTACTTTGAAGCAGGCCCCCAAGCCAGGGGTGTCTAGACCAGGAATGGGAAACAAATTGCCCTCATGGTGGGCGTTGTTCATCAACATCCCAGCCCCAGTGTGGTCTGAGAGCCTTCCTAGCACAGCCTTCCAGACCACACTGCTTTTGGCCCCTCCCGAGTTTCTCTTTCACTGGAACGTCCAGGTCTTTCTTCACCGGAACTGCTGCTGAACCACGTTCCCTCCACCTTCTGTGTGCGCACGTGAGTGTTTAGACCTAAAGCAGCCTCACATTCCTTGTTTGGGAATTCCGTCTTATCACTGCTGCCCCTCCTTCTGGCCTTTGACGTTATTTCAGTCTCAATTCTGTCCTGTGGCCATTGGCACCTGATGTCCCCAGCTTCCTTCTCAGGTGTTGGCTGAACTGGACGGGCCCTGCCAGCGCCCCACGTGCAGGGCTGGCATCAGTCCTCTCCCCAGTAGGGCCGTGTGGGTGCTGTGGTGCATCTGGTGCGAAATGTCCCGTGTGTACTCGCCTCCAACAGCTCCGTCTCCTGCACAGGGTTTCCTTAGGAGCCCTCAGAGTCCTTGCCCACCCAGGGGCACTGTGTTGCGGGTTCTCCCCTCACACCAGTCTAATAACCCTGCCAAGGACAGAAATGCTGTGACCCGAGCACAGCGCTGGGCCCCGGGACTCGCCTCTTCCTTTTTTAAGAGCTGACAGACCCGGTTTAATAATCCACTCGAGAGATTTGCCAGGCTCGTTGCTGAGCTTGCTGTTTGCCACTTTGAGCCATCAGCCCTTCTCTCCTGGATGGCAGCGCCGGACAGAGCAGCCTCTGTCCGTGTCCAGTCCCAGTGTCCTGCCCTGTCCCCCGTGGACCTCTAGTAGAGTACTCAGGGGACCAGGGAAGGTCGCTTCAGCACCTGGGGGCAGAGTGTGGCTGCCTTGGGCACTGGGCTGCCTTAAAACAGCTCGTCCCCGCCGGGAGAGACGGAGCCCGCGCTCTGCCTCCTCTGGCGGGAAGGAAGCGGTGCCCTCCTCTGCCCACCTGGCTGGCTGCAAGGAAAACCGCGCTGCTGCGGGGCCTGCTTGTGGTCCAGCCCTGCCACCTCGCTGCGCCCCCGCACAGGAGGGGCCGGGAGAATCAGGGCAGGCTTCTCAGGGCGTGGAGACCCCTGGATTGTGAAAATGGCCGATCGCTGGGTTTTCTGGAGGCCGAGACCTTCCGGAGTTGCTGGGAGTGGATCAGGCAGGTTGGGCAGGTTCCTGGCTGTGCATTTCACCCTTAGCGAGATCACAGTGGTCCCTGGTCCTGGGGTCTCTGCCCCTGGAGGCAGTGGGGCCCCTCTGTCACCCCACCGTGTCCTCCTACCTTTCCCCGGCAACCACACTTGAGCCTCTGCCCCTTGTTTCTCGTGCCTTTCACGCTTGCTCTCGCGGGGAGGCTCACGTGACCACTGTGGATGTGGAGCACAGTAGTCGTGGCCAAGGGCTGGGGTTCCTGGGGGTAGGGGGGCTACGGGCTGGGGGGAGGACAGCGGGGCACCCGTGAGTCAGAGTTCACTTTGCAGTGAGAAGAACTTCCCTGTGGCGGAACAATGTGGAAAAGCGTGAATGGGGCCGTGTGCCTTTAAGCGTTGGACACTTGGACCTCAGTCATTCCTTAGCTCCGGAGTGAGCCCCTACCACGTGCCAGGCACTGTCTCAGGCTCTGGGAATGCAGCAGGGGACAAAACCCAGCCCTGACCCCCTGGACGGGAGCACGGCATGCAACAGATATGTTGTGTCCAGCGGCAACGTGTAGAAAAAGCACAGCAGGCGTGGGGTTGGGATGTGGCAGGTGCATCTCCAGATTCCGGGTCAGAAGGGCCTCAGTGAGGAGGGGACTCAGTGACGTGCAGGAGCCAGCCACGTGGATATCTGCACCACGCAGTCCACTGGATGCAGAGGCCATGAAACGGACGTGCTTTGCACCTGCAGGGAATAGCAGGTGGCAGGTGTCCCGGAGGCCACCCTTGTCCAGGGAGAGTGGGAGCAGGTGAGCAGCCAGACCAGAAAGAGCCTGTGCACATTCGTCACACGCAGGGCACGTCCTCGTCCACAGGTCTAGGGTCTGAACTCAGGTGCTGGCACTTAGGTCCAACCTTGCCAGCCTCTGGCCTCTCTGAACTCCAGTGTCATCCTCTGCAGAGGCCAGCTCTGTCTCCTTCACGGGGTCGTGAGGTGTGTGGAAACGCGGTGCCGGCTGTAAGGAGCTGTGTACCCACCTGTGAGCAGTCAGGGTTCTCTCTGCGCGCCTGCCTGATGGCGGGTATAGGTGCCAGCTCGGGCCCAGGGTGGTTTCCATCCCTTCCGAGACCTCTGAGGACCCAGTGCAGTTAACTCCAGACGCTCCACGTCGGATTTTCCCTGTAGAGGTCGTGTGGGCAGCACCGACTTAAGAGCCCTTGGCCAAGTCCCTGGCCTGGCAGGGCTGCTGTCAGGAGAGGTGCACCGGTGCCTGAAGGGGTTGGGAGCAGCCCCAGCCTCTGGCATCTCCTCTGTGGCAGGATCTCCCAGCGAGTGGAGCTGAGCCGGAGCCAGCTGCAGGCCATCGGGGAGAGGGTCTCCTTGGCCCAGGCCAAGATTGAGAAGATCAAGGGCAGCAAGAAGGCCATCAAGGTAGCCCTCGTGACCCTGTGTCTGTGGCTGGTGGGCAGCGCCTCCCTGTCGCCTGTCTGAGGTTGCCCAGGTCCCTGCCCCTGCTGTCCAGCCAGACCTCGGGCTTTGCTCCTGCCCAGGGCCCCGGCCCCAGCTCCACCTTCCACCCAGCCCTCGGCTGTCTGGAGTCTCTCGGGACCCTCAGGCTGGCCCTGTGTCCACAGGTGTTCTCCAGCGCCAAGTACCCGGCTCCAGAGCACCTGCAGGAACACAGCTCCATCTTTGCAGGCGCCCAGGACCCTGGCCTGCAGAGACGCCCCTGTCACAGGATCCAGAGCAAGCACCACCCCCTGGATGGGCGGGCCCTGCAGGTGAGGGGCACCCCTGGCACTGGCCACTTGCTCCGAGGCTCGCTGGTGGCGAGGGGATCAGGGCCCACTGTGGGTTCTGTCCTCCAAGACGGAGTGGGGTAGCTCTGGCTGGCACTGACATCTCCACCCCTGTCACCCCCGGCCTCCCCAGGAGAAGCTGCAGTACTTCCCGGTGTGTGTGAGCACCACGCCGCAGCCCGAGGACGCCGCCGAGGAGGGGCTGGGGGCTCTTCCCAGCAACATCAGCTCTGTCAGCTCCTTGCTGCTCTTCAACACCACTGAGAACCTGTATGGCCAGATGGTGGCAGGGCCATGGAGTCCTGGGGGGGAGGTCTGCCTGGCTTAGCGGGGACCGTAGGGGCGGCAGACTCTGGCCAGCAGGAGCATGAGGCTGGGAGCCAGGAGCTGACTGTGGGGTTTGGCTCGGGAGACCTGGGATCCCCAGAGTGCACTGTGCCCCGAGGAAGTGAGAGATGTAGGTGCGGACCACAGGCCTGGGACAGACGATGGCCTGCTTGTCCCCACCCTGCCCCTGTAGGTACAAGAAGTATGTCCTCCTGGACCCCCTGGCTGGTGCTATCACAAAGACCCATGTAATGCTGGGGGCAGAGACGGAGGAGAAGCTGTTCGATGCCCCTCTGTCCATCAGCAAGAGAGAGCAGCTGGAGCAGCAGGTGGGGAGATGGGGGCTGCCCGGGCTCTTCTCCAGACAGTATTCCACCCAGCTCCATGGGGTGCGCACGAGGACCTGCCGGCTGCCCCTGTGGGTCCCTGTCACTAACGTGCCCCCACCTAATCCTGCAGGTCCCAGAGAACTACTTCTATGTGCCAGACCTAGGCCAGGTGCCTGAGATCGACGTGCCATCCTACCTGCCTGACCTGCCTGGCATCGCAGATGACCTCACGTACAGTGCTGACCTGGGCCCTGGCATCGCCCCCTCTGCTCCTGGCACCATTCCGGAGCTACCCACCTTCCAAACAGAGGTAGCTGAGCCTTTCAAGCCAGGTGAGCTGGGTGCTGGGAGGGAGCTGGACTAGGGAGCTCCCTGCTCGGCCACCTTCTTCCCTGAGCACCTCACACTTTCTCACCTTCCCTTTCAGATCTAGAGAATGGGGTGCTAACAGCACCCCCACCACCTCCACCACCGCCACCACCTCCCCCAGCTCCTGCAGCTCTGGTCAGCGCCCCCCTACCCCAGACCATGGCCCCTGCAGGCCAAGGTGCCAGGGAGGACGAGAGCAGCAGCAGTGTGTCCCCTTCAGGTGGGAGCAGTGCGGGGGTTGGAGGCTCTTTCTGAGGGTGTCTCTAATTTCAGGATCCCTGAGGGATCTTCTGTAGGTGTGTTAAGTGGTCTTAAATCCTAGATTTTCAGAATAGTCCTCATTTCAAGTATCTTGTTATACTGGGTTGATAAAATAGTGGTTTTCAAACTGTAGAGCTCTGGAATTCTGACCTCCAGAACTGTGGGGCTCTGGATGCCCCACCCCGCCCCCAGTTAAACCAATGGAAGAAAGGGGTCTGCTAAAAAAAATAATTGAAAACTACAGCAACAAAATATTCAGTATCCCTGAAATTACGCAATTTCAGGTTTAACGTCCTATCTCCCAGGCTGTGTCCAGCACCTAGAAACGGCACAGACACGCTTTGCAGGCTCCCGTGTCCAGTAGACACCGTCAGCACGTGGATAACTCACAGGGCTGCCTCTGCAGGGTGGCACCTGGTCACAGGGGTGGACAGGGCAGGAGGTGCCTGCACACAACACTCCTGAGCTCAGGCCACTGCAGACATCAATGTCCAGGCCCCGCTCCGTCTCCGAAGGCCTGGCTGCGCCACCTGCTTCCTCTTTCAAGAGGAGGCGCCTTCCCCAGGCTCTTGAGGTGACAAGTGAGGACTGGAGCTTCACCCCCACCACAGGCTGGGCGAGGCTGTCCCGCAGCCTAGCCCTGCCTGAGCAGCCCTTCCTCCGCGCACCTTCTCCCCTCCCAGCTCCGGTCCAGGGAGCACCCAAGGAGGTGGCAGAGCCCTCCAGTGGCCGGGCCTCTCTGCTGGAGTCCATCCGCCAAGCTGGGGGCATCGGCAAGGCCAAGCTGCGCAGCGTCAAGGAGCGCAAGCTGGAGAAGAAGAAACAGAAGGAGCAGGAACAAGGTGAGGGGACCCCAGGGCCACTGCAGTAGGAGGGGTTCAAGCAAAACACCACCCGAGTCCCTCAGTGTGCCCTCTGTCCCCCCTCCCCCCGGGTGAGGCTCATATCCCAGCTCTCCACACCCCCAAATACCCCGTGCTTCCCCTGTGCACTTGCTGGAAGCCCTGGGTGGCCACAGGCTCCTTCCTGGTTGGGGAGCCACTTAGTGGCGCTTTCCTCTCTAACCTCACCCAGCTCAAACTAGGACAAGAGAGAATCTTCTGAGACTCTGCCAAGAGTTGTCCAAGGAAACGGTCAGGTATTTTAGAGACAGAGACCTGAGGTTGAGCTCAGTGCTACTTCTGTAAGCCTCTTGGGCCTGCAGAGCTCGTCTGCTGTGAGTCCCAAACGCTGGCCTAGTGTGACGCCTGGGTGTGCAGCAGCAGTGTCCCCAGCCCGGTCCTGCTGCTGCTGTGGCCCAGGCAGGTTGCCTAACCTCTCTGGGCCAGTTTCCTCCCCCGTGCGGTGTCTCCCAGGGTGGCTGTTAGAGTGTAACTCAAAGGTCACCTTTGTCTTATTAGTGCCTGGTGCTGGGTCCAGGGATGAAGCTCTAAGAGGCTGTGGAGGGCTGGGGAGTGTCTCGGGGGGATAGGGAGCCAGGAGGGCTGTGTCATTGAAGCCCCCACCTGCGGCTACTGTGTTGCAGTGAGAGCCACAAGCCAAGGTGGGAACCTGATGTCGGACCTCTTTAACAAGCTGGCCATGAGGCGCAAAGGTAGGAGGCACAGCTGCCTTCCCTGGGCCGGGTCAGGGATATTTTGCATCTCCCACGTTCTCCTGCCTTTTCCTTCCTGCTTTTAAGTTTCCGGGGGCCCAGTGAACTGGTGCCCCCCTCCCTGACTCTCAGCCTTTTCCATCCCAGGGATCTCCAGGAAAGGACCTGGGTCAGACTCCATCCCGCCTCTATCTCAGCAGCCGCAGGAGAGGAAGATGAAGATGACTGGGAGTCCTAGGGGCCTGCGCCGCCCCAGGTGTGTACCTGGACCTTCTTCAAGGACAGGGAGGCTGGCTGTAGGCCACGAGGCTGCCGGGGCACCACCCTGTGACCGTGTGCCACCCCTCACCAGAGGGCTCTTGTCTTCCCCAGAGAGATTGAGAGAAACAGGAGCACCACGGATCAATAAAGAAGTGTAAACAGAGCCGAGCAGAAACCACCACTGCGCTTTTATTGAGGAACAGGAGCTATGCAGGGTACGCACATCTCAGAGCCAGCGGCTCTCCGCCTGCTCTGCGGGGGTCTGTGTGATGGGGCAGAACATCCCAGGACACCAAGGCCCCTTTCTCTGGGGTCACACACGAGAGGTGCAGCCGGCAGGGGCAGCTGTTGCAGACGGGAGGGAGAATATCTTCCCACAGGAAAAAGCGTCTCAGCGACAGACATGGGGTCTCTAAATAGTCACACTGAGAGGCTGATGGCCCTTGACATAATTGCTGATGTCAGGGTAGAAAGTGTCTTCCAGTTTGCTCAAGTGGTTGGGAAGACTGAGGTAGGTGGGGACACTCAGGAGCCCTAGGGCCACCAGGAGCTGGAAATGGGGAACATTTTAAATTTAGAAGAGAGTGAGAAAGGGCAGAGGCACATGGGCCCAAGGGTGGCTGGGACCCCCTGTTTCTCCAGGATTAGCCAAGCTGTCTCCCATGGGCTTGTCTACCTGTGCCTGGACCCTGGCAGCACACTGCATGCAACGCTCTCCCCCTGGGCATCCCCTTCCCGCGGAAGGCTCCCTGCAGGCCAGGCCCAAGCCACACCCCATCTCTGGCAGCCCTGGTGAAGGAA